TGATGCATAAACTAGTAGCACATCTAACCAAAATTATCGATCTCAATAAGTAAAGAACAATGTGTACGCAATAGCATGCTATTGAGATGACAAATTCAATGAGTTAGTTAACCTTTATTCTATATGGAGTGATTGAAGTTTTTAGGTTTCCTGCACTCGTACGTACGTGCATTTTTTTCATCGTATGACCACTATCTTATAATTAGTAGTTAAAATTTCCAAAATTTGAGTATTCGCAATGCAACTCATGTAAATCCGCGACCGTACTTTTTGTTTTCTGCTTTTTGTGCGACAATTTACTCAATGGGTTATGTGCTACTCAAAATAGTTATTTAAAATGCAGATTTGTAGTTTTGCTTTTTTACTCATATTCGATAGCCAAATGGGAAATAAACTTGGATACAATTATCAATATGGGATAGGGATTGAAAATGATGAACTTAAGACATTCATTCATTATGCTGAGATGGGAAATGCTGATGCATTATATAACCTTGGATATTGTTATCTACATGGAATAGGGATTGAAAAAGAATGAACATAAGGCATTCGTTTATTATCAAAAATCAGCAGAGGAGTGTGCCATTACTATGGAATTGGAGTTGAAAAGGATGAACGTAAGGCATTCGGATATTGCCAGAAATCCACAGAGATGGGGCATGCTACTGGAACAAAATATGTTGGACATTGTTATTATAATGGAATAGGGGTTGAAAAGGGTGAACATAAGGCATTCATTCATTATCAAAAATCTGCCGAGATGGGAAATGCTGATGCATTAAATAACCTTGGATATTGTTATCTGCATGGAATAGGGATTGAAAAAGATGAACATAAGGCATTCATTCATTATCAAAAATCTGCTGAGATGGGAAATGATAAAGCAATAAGTAGTCTTGGATATTGTTATCTACATGGAATAGGGATTAAAAAAGATGAACATAAGGCATTCATTCATTATCAAAAATCTGCCAAGATGGGAAATGCTGATGCATTAAATAACCTTGGATATTGTTATCTACATAGAATAGGGATTGAAAAGGATAAACATAAGGCATTCATTCATTATAAAAAATCTGCCGAGATGGGAACTAGTGCAATAAATTACCTTGGATATTGTTATCAACATAGAATAGGGATTGAAAAGGATAAACATAAGGCATTCATTTATCATCAAAAATCTGCCGAGATGGGAAATGTTGATGCATTAAATAACCTTGGATATTGTTATCGAAATGGAATAGGGATTGAAAAGGATGAACGTAAGGCATTCATTCATTATCAAAAATCTGCCGAAATGGGAAATGCTAATGCATTAAATGACCTTGTTATCAATATGGAATAGGGATTGAAAAAGATGAACATAAGGCATTTATTCATTATCAAAAATCTGTTGAGATAGGAAATGCTACTGCAATTTATAATCTTGCAGACTGTTATTTTTACGGAATAGGAATTGAAAAGGATGAACATAAGGCATTCATTCATTATCAAAAATCTGCCGAGATGGGAAATGCTGATGCATTAAATGACCTTGGATATTGTTATCGACATGGAATAGGGATTGAAAAAGATGAACATAAGGCATTCATTCATTATCAAAAATCTGCTGAGATGAAATACATTAATGGAATGTCACAAGTTGCTTATTGTTATGAAAATGGGATTGGAACATCAAGAGATTTACAGAAAGCTAATTATTGGTATCAAATGTAAGTACCGGTAATATATTTTGACAGCAAAATAGATTTCTTTATTTAATCATTCCTTTCTGTTCTCTTTTTCATTTACATATTAAATTACCCGCAGGTAAGTAAAGTAGTTATTCATAAAAAAGATATAGATATTTTAAGGTCAACAGAAGAATTCTTTATTGAAATGTTGCTTTCATTTTTTTTTCATTACGTATTAAACTGCTAGCATGTAAGTACAGAAGTTACTCATGAAGAGATCTGCATATTTGATGATTAATAGAATTCTTCATTAAAATGCTAATAGAAACGGAAGTATTGTAGATCCTGTGAAGGAGTTTTTAGAACATACTTCATTATCATGGATTCAACTTAACGATTTGCAAATTATTAATAAAATCGGAGAAGGTGGATTTGCAACCGTGTACTTAGCTAAATGGATCGACAAATATGTTGCACTTAAGCTCCTTCACGGATCACATAAGAATTCTGAGAGATTTAAAAAAGAGGTGGATATTTGATAATTATTTAATAGCTTAATTATTGCCTATATTTTTACTAACAGTTATTGCATTGTAGTTAAGGACACTTTATGATATTGGGCGCAAAAATTCAAAATTTTTACGTTGTTATGGAGTATCGAAATATAAAAAAACTAATGATTATATTTTAGTGATGCAATATGCACAAAAGGGTTCTTTGCGTCAAAATATTCGTGAAGTTGCACAAATACGATGGAAATTGAAGTTAAATATACTATCTCATATTGCCGAAGATCTCCAAGCAATTCATAGTCATAACATTATTCATCGTGATTTGCATAGTGGAAACATATTACAAGATTATCTTTTTAATGCTTATGTCGGTGATTTGAGACTTTCAGAATCGGTTAACCATGTATTGATGAAATCTGATGGAATTTATGGAGTATTACCATACATAGCTCCAGAAGTTTTAAGAAGAAAAGAATATAATACAGCATCTGATATCTATTCATTTGGCATGATTATGTGGGAATTATCATCAGGAAGATTATCATTTTCAGATAAAAGTCATGATTTGTGCCTTCTTACAGAAGTTTGTGAAGGATTAAGACCAGCAGTTGTTAAAGATATGCCACAACGTTATACTGATCTTATGAAAAGATGTTGGGATGATGATCCAGAAAAGCGGCCAAAAGCTTCTGAAATCTATAGCCTCATACAGCTATGGCAAAATGAAGAAATTTTATCGGAATTTAAAAATGCCAATAAAACTGCATTTAATAATAATGAATTAGATGCTATGCATCCTCAAGCAATTTACTCAAGCAGATTCATTAGTTATAATGATTTGGATTCTGTACATTCTCAGGCAATTTATTCGAGCAGATTTATTAGTCACAACGAATTAAAAGTTATATGTCCTCAAAGGATTAATTCAGACAATATCATTAGTAAAGAAGATAACATACCTATTGAGCATATGGAAAACTTAATTTAAGGGTAGACGCAGTTAAAGGGTCAAAATTTTATAGGCAAAAATCATATAGTAAAAAAATAATCATATCTCGTGATCTATCAGACCGATTTTACTACTACTAGAATCGTCTCAATCAACTCTACAGCTTTAATTAGAAGTTTAAAAAAAGTTTACTTGTAGAAAAACATTCCTGTACTACAGAAAACTACAGTATATGAAGTTCCGATTTTTTAATTATAAAATTTTACCTTTTATTTTTTTATTTTTTTTTTGTTCTTTATTATTAAAATTATAATCGTATAAAGTACAACGATATTAGCTATTTCTAAGAGTTTGGTACTTGAATATTTAATATTAAAATAAATTTATAAAGTTTTGTAAATGTATATTTTGATATAATTTTATAACTATTATATAACAAAAAGATTATTTATTGTAAAATATAAAGCCAATAGCAAAAAATTCATCATGCCTTTTATTTAATGACTTGTATTTCAAGTCTTGTGAATATGTAATTAACTCATCGGCAATTATTCGTTTGCGTAATCAAATTAATGTATCAGTTATTTTTTATAATAACAATTACATGAGAAAAATTTATAGTAAAGTTTACGATTCAGAAATGTAAATTAAGGTGGATTTGTAGAAATTATGGTTGGTTGTAAAAGAAAAATTTCAAACCAAATTATTTTCCCATTACTTTAGCACGAAAAAGAACAGCATTAATATTTATAAAAATTTTATAAACAGCCCTGCAATAAATTACCGGAATGATGCTTTTTATTAATAAAATATGTAAAAAATGAAATTTACGCTTATCTGTCTTAATTTAATTACTCTTTTTAAAAAATAACGGGTTCAAATTTTATAATCATATCTTCAGATTGAGAAGTTTGCATAAAAATTTATATACAATATATGTAAAATGAATATCTTATATATGAAATTCTAAGATTATAAAAAAGAAATTATTTTTAAAACGTGTAATTAACTTTAACCGGGTGAAAAATAAAAAACAAATACTACATTCAAATTAAAAACTTTCATACATAAACAAAATTTTCTTTTTATATACTTCATTGACAATAATATGTTATTCCAGTAATACTGTTTTGTTGAGTTTATTCTATGCAAGCTCGCATACGGATTCTTAACTAGCCTAAAAAATAAGAAAAGCAAAAATAAAAAACTTTTACTCTTTCTTCCCTCAAATTTTTGCTTAATTAAAATCGCTCATGACTACAAATTAAAAAAAAAAAACAACCCAATACAGTATCTGTGCATTTATTTGTGCGAGTGACACAAGAAGCAGCCAATCACCAAACATAAGGTCCTTGCATTACTGTAGCCACGAAGCCTTTGTTTATCCTGACACATGTACAACAAAAGTGATGAAATATAAATATATATATTTACTGTATACATAAGAAAGTGAGTGTTCAAAATCTACCTTGTGGCATTAATTAAAAATGACAAGAATGAAGTTTTTACATACGTAGAAGCACATTATAATTGTGAATTTAAACAAGTTCTTAACGAACCTAATGTGCTGACTAAAATTTTTGTTCGGTTTCCTTGTGCTCGTATCACTTGCAAAAATAAGTAATTTCCATATTTATATATGACAAAGAGCAAAAATCCTTAAATAACAAGCGTGTGTTATCACTGTTACATTGTCGGTATTTATTGAAGATGGTGTATTCGTTTTGTAAACCGGATAAAAAATGTTCAACCGAAATTACTCTTTTCATACTTATTTTTATATGCGTGGATTTTTGCACTGATGGCTTTATACCGGAAGGCAGAAGTGGTCATGAATCGGTGCTAATTGAAAATAAACTTTACATTATGGGTGGAATCTCACCTTCGAATTCCATATCGGGAGAAGTATTTTATCTGGATCTTTCATCACCGCCTGATATTGACAACCTGTCATTTATAGACCTTACTAATACTTCGCCAATGTTATATGGAATTAGTAAAGGTTAGTCTCTTGACTTTACATATATTTTATCAAAATTGCTCTTCTCGCAGAGTATTTTTTATCACTTAACTTGATGTAAAATTTTCTTGCAATCTCTTCTGGCAATCTATTTCATTTTCTATTAACAATACTAAGTTAGTTAATTAAAAATAAAGTACCTACTAGGGTTCATTAAAGATTTTCTCTTGAAATTTATCGATAAAACATACCTTCGAGAAAGCATCTTTTATTGAATTTTTCGAAATTTAAACCAAAAACCTAAGCATATGTTATATTTTTATTAGGTGCAGCATTGGCTAGTGGAATCGGTAAATCTTATATAATCCTTATTGGTGGAACGCAGCAGGATATAAATATGCCACAACAGAATATTACAGATCAATTCGTTTTCGTTTATAATGTGCATTCACAAAATTGGGAAATAGTTCAAGGGGCTCAACCAACTAGACGGAGCTCAATCTCAACAGTTATAGATCAATTTGGTGTAGCATATATATTTGGGGGAAAATGGAATCTGACATAGCATCAGATACGAATATTTTATACAATGAACTTTATAGTTTTGATACGAGCACCCTATTGTGGGGGAATTTAAGTGGTGCGACCAATGCTCCTATGCCTAGAAGCCATGCCACCGCAACATTGCTTCCAGATGGAAAGATTATTTACATCGGGGGCGTCATTCAGCAATCTTTCGAAAACCAAACAACCTTACAAAATATGCTGCAAGTGTGTTATTATTTTATTTCTTTATTATTTACAATGGTCTAGTGTAAAAAAAGATTGATTACCACAAAATTCTTATTACAGATCTTTATATATGATACACAATTTTTAGGCTGGTCCGCAATAGTAGGCATTCTGTTACTTTGTTTTTTAAATTTGAGAATTTGCTACACCATATATGACTTGTGTATTATGTTTATAGAAAGCAAATGCGTCATTCGTCGTTCAACCCCGAATGGGTCACACTGCAGTCTTAACATCAGATAATAAATCGATTATTTTATTAGGAGGAATTTCAACTTTACGTATGAAAATTTCATTTTAATCGCTTATGTTTAACAAATTACGAAATTTAATTTTTAATTATGCTTTTAGATGATGAAATAAACCAAATTGCCGCTGATCCGAATTTTCTTGTGCTAAAAATTGAGTCAGGAACATATGAATATTTAGCACCTCAACTTTCTGGAAATCAACCTCCTAAATTATCTTATCATACCGCTAATCTATATGTGAATCATATGATTGTTACTTTTGGTAATTATTCTATTCATTAAGCTATAATTATTGATACAAAATTTTTAATGCAATTAGGATTTGCTATTTGCTTCTTAAACAGGAAATATTATCGATATCATTAATACAACATCATCAATTAAACTCAACTCAAATGTCTATTTATTGAATATAAAATGCTTAACTTGGGTGTCTCATTTTGAGCCTTGTGGATCTAATTATATTGATAAGGCCTATTCCAGTTTAGTTTTAGTTAGCATTCTTATAAGCATAGAATTATTGGAATACCACGGAATTTATGGAATTTATGCATTTCAAATTTATACATTCCGGTTATCAGATAAAATACCTAGAATCTTTAAATATGTCTTCACCGTAATTGAATATTTTGTTTGCTTAGAATATGTTCTTTTTAATAATAATTTTGGACCAGATTTTGTATTTTTAAGGATTAGTATTTATAGTCTTCTTTTTACAAGTCTTGTAATTATTAGAAAGATTCATAGAACACCTATATTAGTATTTCTTATTGTTTTTTTTAAAAGTATGTTTATCTTATTTATACGATATTTTCCCCTATATACTGCAACAATTTTTATCAACTTTTGCCAATTAATTATTAACTTGTTCCTTTCAGCATTTGGTTGGAAAAAGCATTTGTTAGCTGGGAAAATATTATTATTTATTGAAATTGGCATTATGCTTGGTTTACTGCGCTTTTCAAATTACTGTGTCCATCAGATGATCGCCCATCACACGAAAATCAGGAAATTTTCTTTAAATTCCTGGTTTTTTACAAATTTCTACTTAAAAAATAACAATTCCAAAGATTCCCTATCACATTTCAATTCTTTAATAAAACATCCATTAGTATTCCAAATTTTTTAGTTGTTAGACCGGTTAATAATAAAAATTTTCACCTTTTTTTTTGCTAATTTTAGATTTTCATTGTGATTCTAATTTATTTATAATATCCAATTCTATGCTTAGATTTTTTAGTTTCATAACAAAACAATAATAAAATTTTTAAGTTTTCTTTTTATTAATTGAGCAGGCAATAATTTTTTTTTTTTTTTTTTTACAAATTTCATACATATATATAAAATTAACACATGCAAAATTTAGAATGCGTTCTTTTAGTGAAGACCTTAAGTGGTGCATAGTTTACTTGTGCCATGATGGCTACTCAAAAAAAGAAATTGCATCCACTTTATATATAAGTGTATTATTAGTAAAAATAGTTTTGAGAATCTACCAAAAGTGGGGCATGGTTGTTAATCCATGGTGCCAAATTCCCGGACCTCGAAAAACTTTTGATAGGAATGATATGACTGTATATATGTTTTATTTGTTTTATAATAATTACAGTACTTCTTTTAACAATTTTATATAATTAGATTTTGCAGCAGATTGTTAGAGAGAAAGTTGATTGGTATTTGGATGAGCTCGTTTGTGAAATGGAATGATGCACCAGAAAGTCTGTGTCAATTCTGATACTTTGGAGATCTTTGGCTTACTGCGGCATCACATGAAAAAAAGTTTTATTTTTATTTTTTTTAATTTTTATATTTTATTTTGTCTTTTTTAACATTTATATAATATATATATATTATTGAATAGCTTCAAAAAGATGCTAAAGAATGAAATGAGCTTGTGCGAAGTGCTTTTATGGCATATATTGGTGCCCAGTATCAACCTGAACAACTAATTTTTTGAATGAATCCTCAAGAGATGAACATACCATAACAAGAGGTTATGGATATTCCGAAGTAGATACTAGAGCAAGAAAAAAGGTGGTATTTGTATGCAGAGTAAGATACACGGTTTGTCCAGCCTTAACTCTACAAGGAATAATTGCTGCTGATATTGTAGAAGGCAATTATACAAAAATTAAATTTAAAGATTTTGTTATAAATCAAGTTGTACATATATATTATCCTAATTGTACATATTCAAAGAATTTTTTGGTAATTATTTACAAACTTTTTTTGTAAATATAACAGTTACCACAGATGAATTTGTATCCGCATAGCAATAGCATTTTGGTTATAGATAATACACAAATACATCATGATGATGGATTGTGTGAATATTTGGATACATTTGGGGTGCGTATAGAATTTTTTCCACTTTACTCACCTGACCTTAACCCAATCGAATTAGCATCTTCCTCAATTAAAAGTTACTTGAAACAGTATCATTATTTTGTTGAAAATTTCAATATAAATTATTCACTATTAGTCGCATGTACACAAATTATGCTGGAGATAGCAAAAAGTTTTTTTGAGGCTTCGGGTTATAAGTAATTACTAGTCATTATAAAGAAGACTTACTTTTTAAAATTTTTTTTTTTTTGTTAGTAACTAAGATAGGTTTAGATACTATATATTTTTTTTTATTTACTGTATTTTCCCCGTCAGACTAATAATTTGTCAATAATTCATAATTTGTTTATATAATCATATAATTAGTATTATAAATTTTAGCATAATATAGTTATTCACTAAATATAAATATCTATTTTACTAACATGCATCTTTCTGAATAGTATGTTTTTCTAACATTCTATTTCTTTAAAAATATATTACTGAAAGCTCTTACCAAATTTATAGCTATTTTTATAAGTTCTGAGTTACTTGATAAACCAAAAAAAAGTACAAACTAATTTGCCAACACTATTTCACTAATAGCCATTTTATTGGCTTGGTTTATGTTGAGTTGGCCTAAAGATATCTTGTTGGAAAATTTTTTTTTTAAGAATATTTTTTCAGAAAAACTTCTTTTGAAGAAACATCCTTTAAAAAAAATAGATCAATTAGTGAAAAGGCTTCAGAAAAAAATTTTGACTGAAAATAAGAGTTTGAAGAAAAAAAAAATTCGGAAGATAGGTTTCAAGAAAGTTAGAATCAGTAATTAAAACTTTTTTCAGTAGTACTGTATTGTATAAATAAATTTTAAGGGTGCACTATAACAATCGCTTAATAAAGTAAGATAGAAAACCTTTTATTAGTTTAGTTACCAATACCACTAACTAGAAATATAATCTACTAAACTAGAAAAGTATTTTCTATATAACTATATCAAGTAACTATTATAGTGCACCCTCAAAATTTATTTATACAATATGGCACTGCTAAAAAAAGGCTAAGACTTGGTTTCACAATAAGATATGATATTTTAACAATATATAATATGTTAAAGGAAGATTTGAAATAAGAATGAGTGAAATTACAATATAATATACTGTATATATTGCAAGACAGTACACAACTAATATGTATTTTTCTACTTTATACATATTGTTCACATGTTAATTTTCTTTGCTATATATGTGTATTTTGTTATACAACTATACTAGTAATTGTTGCTTTATATATTCATTGTATAAATCATTTTGAAATAGTATATAATGAAATATTTAAAAACTATTTCCCGCCATTATAACCAAAATTAGAATTTTTGATACTTTTCAGCATACTTACAAAACGTTTGTCGATCACTAATAGTTTCTACTCTACATAGTGCAAATTCCTCATCTGTTAGTCTTTTTAATTGTTTTACTAAAATTCGTTGTGCATTAAATTTTTCTAAAAAACTTTGATAATGATCGCCAGTTTCTTCTCCTTTGTCTACTTCTTTTAGAAATTCTGCTATAGTAGGTAAAGTAGAATAGACATATGGGTTAGATTAAATAACATAAGACTGTGGTGAAATATGAGACAATGTTTGATACAGATTATATAAAGTTGGTTGATGCGATTGAAATAGTTGAGCTCCAAAGGACCAATTGTATTGTGGCATTGGTAATAATGGCAAAAATGATTGTTGTAATGGATATGGTGTTAAAACCAATTGGGGATGTCCTTGTAGTAATGGTTGTAATAGTCACATTTGTGGCAATTGCTGTACTTGCGATAGTGGTAGTGATTGTTGTGGTTGTATAAGTTGTGCTTGTAGCGATTGTTGTACTCGATGTGGTGATTGTTGTGATTGTTGCACTTGTGGTAGCAGTGGTTGCATAAGTTGTGCTTGTGGTAATTGAGGTGGTGATTGTTGTGGTTGTATAAGTTGTACTTGTGGTGATTGTTGTAACGGTTGTATATCTGGTGACAGTGGTAGTGCTTGTGGTGATAGTGAAGATAGTAAAACTAATGGCATTTGTAGTGTAGATGGTGGTGGTTGTGATTTTGAGCGTAGCTTTGGATGATAAGCTAGTATAGAAAAAAAGAGGATGTGTTGGAGGATTTTCAACTGTAGCTAGCCCTTTGTTCTAAAAGTATGCCAGTATATAAATGAAGTTTAATCAATATAATTTATTATATATTACTGTAAATATCGATATACTAATATGTTCCATCTTGGATGCCCAGATCGAAAGCATCATAAAAATAATCTCAATATGCAAATTTTTGTGATTTTCTTTATTAAGGCAGGGACGATTATGCACATTATAGTAGTATGCATTTCTAATTGTTAACACGTTTTTGGCAATTTCCTTATCATGTACAGATAAAGATGAAACACTTGGGACTCGATTATTGTTTTTGTAATTGTTAGGTCATTCAGTATTTTCTTCATGTTCACTTAAATCTGATTCCTGCAAAATTGTATTATAATTTATATTATAATCAATACGTACCAAATTAATGAACAAATTTAGTAAATAGCCATATAATACAAATAAACATGCATATTTGTGTATATACGTACATACATACATACATACTTTTTTTTTTTGCTTATTTTGAGAAATAGTGATAGAGGGTTGTGAAATTGTAACATAAATCCCAATATTACTTTTTCTAGCAGCTAATTTTGTATATTCCGATTTGAACTTGATAAAGTCTTGTTCATCGACCAACTGAGTGCCAGCACCTGTCTCTCTTTGTGTTTTGAATGTCACGAAGTAATCACTTGGCATAATAGTATTATCTTTTGTCACCAAGTGAATTTTATTGTGAACGGATAAAAGAAATTCATCAACTATTGATATGGATTCTTGAAACATTTAGCAGGTAATGAAATTTCATCAGCTGTTTTAACAAATAATTTATAAGCTAATGCAAACTCGGATTCATCATCCTCATTCTCACTACTCATTTTATTTTCGTTGATTCAATCTTCACTTGTTGCAACAGATATTGACGAAGAAGGTGACCTAGTTACTTCCTATAAACAAAGAATTAATAAATTAGATAATTATATAATAAAAGATTATATTACACATACATTGTTATTAATTCCATTTTTTGGTTTTTTTTTTTTAGCTTTGGAATTCAATTTCACCAAAACATTGTGGCATTGTCCACAAAGAGAAAACTGAAAAGTTTTTTTCAAATTTATTTGGTAATTATATTCCATAACATTTCTATGAATATATTCAAACATGGGTGCTGCCTAGGTAGATTCATAGATGCGTGTATATGCTTGTTTTACTAAATCTGTTCGATTTTTTTTTGTGGACACTAAGGATAATTTATATTTGCAAGTAGTATTTCTCAAATCAACTGCACAGTACAGACACTTTCGACATCCAAAACAGGTGCCGAGGTAATATCTAAGTTTGGTGTTAGCTGCATCTGCTATTATCATTATAACAATAAGTATTGTTTGATTGATTATGAAAAAAAATTTTTTACTGCTTTGGGAATTTTTTTTTTATATGCACGTATTACTATATTAGTCATATAACTAATAAATTAACTTATCAATTTCTTTATTTATTATTATATAATTAAAAAATTAGCATATATATGTGTAATATACAGTGGTGTTTAAATTTTAAATTAGGATTTCAGATTCCCAGATTCCTGTGTGATATGTGATGCATGAAATTTGATGGACACAGTAATTTGAAAAGCGCAGTAATAATGATGTGGATCTTTATTATATGCAGAAATTTCATTAGAAAAAGCATTGATATCGATATTAATATATACTATTGGTTGCACTATTTGCTTTTTGTATTTTTATTGGGTTTATTGGCCTCATGGGATCATTTCAGTAGTCAGAATGTATAAGGAACTTATTAATCGAATTTTTATTGTCAGCATTTTGGTAATTACGTGGGTAATTACAAAGGAAACATCTATGATTTTGTTATTACAACTACAACTTATTAGTTTTCGTCTTTTTATTGAATGCATTGTAAAAGCATGTTTATTTTTCCAGACTCGTAAAAGAAAACATATAATAAATCAGAATAGAGACCCTGTGGAAAATGGAAACATTATGAGTCAAAATATAGATCCAGAAAATGAAAATATTATGAGTCAGAATATAGATCCTGTGAAAGAGTTTTTAGAACATACTTCATTATCATGGATTCTATTTAATGATTTGCAAATTATTAATAAAATCGGAGAAGGTGAATTTGCAATTGTATACTTAGCTAAATGGATCAACAAACATGTTGCACTTAAACTTCTTCATAGATCACAAAAGAATTCTGAGAGATTCATAAAAGAGGTGATTATTTGGTAGCTTAATTATTGTATATATTTTTTACTAACAGATATTGCATTGTAGTTAAGGACACTTTATGACATTGGGTGCAAAAATTCAAAATTTTTACATTGTTATGGGATATCAAAAGATGAAAAAACCAATGATTATATTTTAGTGATGCAGTATGCACAAAAGGGTTCTTTACGTCAAAATATTCATAAAGTTGCACAAATATGATAGAAATTGAAGTTAAATATATAGATACCCTAGTCAGACAGATCCAGGATGTAGGTGAGATTTTCCGGGTCACGTGAAAACCCGGCCTCTGATCACCTTCCGATTAAGATCAGTTCCCAGTTACACAGATCAACCCTTTTTTTTGTTTATATCAATTTTTTTTTTTGTACTATCAAAACTTTACTGCCTTTTTTCTTTGTATTGCTAACGTCGTCGTTATCGTTTACTTGTGCCTCTTTTCGCCACTGGCGTCGTTGTCGTTTACTAGTGCCTCTTTTCGTCGCTTGTGCCGGTGCTTTCTTCGTATACTTCTTTAGCTCTAGTGTAAATTTGGAAATCAAAGTCTACAGTACAAAAAAAAAGAAAGGTTAGTTTAAAAAAAAAAAGAAAAAATGTAATGTAAGAAGAAATACTTGTCTTCTTAAACTCAGCTTTTGTCTTACTGTTTAATC